CTGGTCTTGTTGCTTGTTATGTAGCCTTTAGCTATACATATGGACTCTAATGAAGTTATGTTGGCCCATTTAATATTTGGTTATACTTTCCTTTTGGGTGTTTAAGGCCATACAGTTGGTCCAGATAAACCAATTTATTTTTACTCTTAAGGTCATTTGAGGATCTGTTCCTCAGGGGTCACATGGGCTTGGGAGGAGCCCCTGGTTCCTTTCTTTTAGCAGTTCCACCTATGTGAAGGTAAGTCAAAGGTCCTCAACCGTGGTTGGCTTCACTTGGAAGTATGGAGGAAGTGATTGTTCTGTGTTGACCCTTCTCTTTATAGACTGGACACTGGTTCAACTCCATCTGGTGGGGTCTCCTCGGCCTCCTTGATCAAGAGGAAAGGTGACCCACCATTATTATAGGACATTTTGAGAGATGCTCATAGTCCCCTGGAACTAGTCGACCTAGGAGGGCAAGGAGCAAAAACTGTCCTTTATGTCCCTCTGACCAAATTAGTATAGGCCTCAAAGTATGTCTGTTAAACACCCAAGAAGGTTAGTTCCACCAGTCTGATATTTTTAATTATTGTGTGTCATGTAGATAAATCTTGGGCAAAGACCAGTTGTTCTCAGATAAACCTTACCTAGACATATATTTCTTGATCTGCTATGTATAATTTGTCAGTAGGTTGTTGGAGTAATATGGTTCCCTCTGGTTTTCAAAACTAGCGAGGCATTGTTTATCTCTCACATCATCTCACCCCTCCATCATGGTTTTCCCACTTAAGGTGCCCCCATTTCCCCCCTTTCTCCCTTACTAATACCCTTCTCCTATGGTCCTACCTCTCTTGATCTCCTTCTTTCCCTTTATCCCCTAGTTTCCTTGTATACCCTTCCCTCCCCCCTCCCTTACACTAACCCACTTTTTTTCCATATTTCCCTTTTTCATACCTGTTTCTTACTGTTCTTCTCTTTTAGGTTCTTTCTTTTCCTTTACCTCTCTGTTTCCTTTCCATTATCCTGGTTCCTATAGTTGTGTCTGGTTGCATACTTATTTATCAGTCTGGTTCTAGGATCCACATATGATGGAGAACATATGTCTTTTTTTTTTCTGAGTCTGTGTTACTTCACTTAGTATAACAGTTTCTAGTTCCATCCATTTCCCTGCAAATTTCATGATTTCATCTTTCTTTACTGCTAAGTAAAACTCCATCGTACAAATGAACCACATTTTCATTATCCACATGTCAGTTGAGGGACACTTAGGTTGCTTCAATCTCCTAGCTATTGTGAAAAGAGCAGCACAACTATGGATGTACAAGTGTCTCTGCAATAGGATAAGTTCCTTGGGTATATGCCAAGGAGTGGTATAACTGGGTCAAATGGTAGGTTCATTTGTA